CCATAATTACCAAAATTAGGTGTTTAAAGGATTTGTAATTGATTATAATTGTGATATTTTCCAAGAGATTATAATCTCTTATAATCGATTATAATTGATTATAGTTCTTAGAAAAAACCGTTAGATTCAATTATAATCGATAATATCTTATTTTGCCAAAATTTTGTCAATTCAAAACTATATTCGAATTATAACTTATGGGTTATTTTTTTGTGTCAATAAGAAAACCTCTAAAAGAGAGATCTCTTGAACACTTTGGTTCATTTAAACATAGTTTTACCTCGAAACAAAAGTTTCAAAGAGATCCTTTCATATTAGTGGAAAGATTCCCGCGGTAGGTGGAAAATAGATCTTCGGAATCAATCATGAAACTAAATCAATTTGCTCATGTTTTGGTGGTTAAAAAGCTTAAAATATGCATCACAAAACAACTCTAATGTGGAAGAAATGAAAAACAACTTTATAATTTTGAATTGCTTGGAAAACTTTGAAAACATTTTTCTCATTTTTCATAGGAACCAACGTCTACAAAAAGTATAAAATATAAGCAATTTAGATGCAAATTCGAAAACAAAATGGACAAACAAAAGAGATTATAAACAATTATAATCGATTATAATAGATTTTTGTGCAAAACCATTGAATATGAAATTTGAATGAAAATAATGGATTATAATCAATTAAAATTGATTTTAATTGTTTCGAAAAGTGGACGAATAAATAATCAATTATACTAGATTATAATGGATTTAATTTTATATAATTTGATTTTAAAAAGAGAGATTATAATCGATTATTAAACGATTAAAATCGATTGTTTCTCAATTTGAGTAAGACTGGCACTAAAATCGTGAACATGCAAAAAGCCAGGTGAACAATTCTTGAACAGCTTAATTTTGCAATTTTACGAGGGGGTGGGAAACTGGAAAAGAGCCGAGCCCCCCAATCTAATTAATTTGTCTTTTTTATAGTTGTTTTACAATTTTTTATGGCAAAAGATGTGGCGTTACTATATAAATTAAAAAGAAAAAATATGTTCACAGCCGTTATTTTGATAATTCTCTCTCTCTCTCTCGCTTCGTTGACTTATCACAACGTTGACGTAGTTTCTGAAAATTAAAACTGAAAAGTGGGGGAAGAGGGTAGTAATAATAACATCACGCATTTCGCCGTAAAAAAACGTAAAATAACTTTGAAATTTAAAATATTAAAAGTTTGGTGGGGAATCCGAATGTCATTGGTAATCATTCCAAATAAATCATAGAAAATGCTTTTGAAATTCCGTCGGTGCGTTTTCTCAGACGTTTCAGACGTTTTCTCAGTCTTATCAGAAATGATGGTGAAACTTTCCAAAAAATAATCTGCTCAGCGTTTCGTGAAGTTTGCAAAATCAGACAGATAAAATCAAAATCGGACGAACAAAATCGAAACGATTGAATTCAATTCAGGTAATTGATAGCAATTTTAGATTAGTCGGACCGTTGTTCAGGGTTGTAAAAATAATTAAAAACTTTTCCACCAAAAACAGACCTGAAATAAAGTCTCAGAGTTCAAAATAATTTCAAAATGTTTGCTATTTCTTAGCTGAATTTTATTTCTTTAACTGCAGCTGAATTATCAGCTTTTCGAATCAACATTTCTTGGCTTACTTGTTCAACTCGCTCTAAATTTGACAAAAGCAAAATTTTCAGACCGGTTTTTCTCGCGAGAAACAAATGAAATTTTCTAAAAATCAATTGAATCACCTCTAAAATTGCTTCACAAAACTATCCAACTAGGCGCCTTCTGACATTAAGTTGAGACACCTTGAAACAAAGTTCCGCCACAACTCGTAGTCGGAACAAAAATCGCAATTGTTAGATGACACTAGTTCACTCTCAAAGCCTTAAGCTATCAATTTCTTTAAAAGTGTGTTGCTCTTGATGGGTGCTACTAGTAGCACTCGATTCTTTCGCAATTTTCTCCGGGATATTGAAACTTGGCTTAAGCTTGTATCTCGACAGGCCATAGAAGCACCTGCTTCAAACTCGCAGCAATCAAACCAAAACAATTTAATCAACGTACATTTCACTAGACAATTATTCAATTGGGATCAGGCCATTCAATCTAATAAATAAACTTCGCTAAAACAAGCATCAATTTGGAACGTTTTGATTAAAAAGTTACCGTTTTGCGAAATGAGAACTTAGATGAGCGTCTTTTACAAGAGCTACTGTGTCGGGCTTTTTACAAAACATAATTTGAAACTCCTTAATTTAACTTTTGACGAGCTAGCTAAAAAAAAATAACGGTGTATTAAGAGAAACTTTGCATACTGCAAAACTAATTGAAGCTCCTACCCATTGATGCAGACACGGGTAAGAAAAAAAATTGAAATTTCGAGAAAGCTCATAATTGGAACAAAATTTAACAAAAACTATAGATTACCTTCAGCTTTTTGTTCAGTCTGCAGCAATATCTGTACAATTGAGCCAAATTGAGAGGTCCAAAATCTCGACAGAAACTAAAAAAAGATAAAAACTGAAAAGAGTACAAGTTATTACAATGAATTTATGCCAAAACCATTGCAAAATACGCTTGTTTAAAAAAGTCTGAAACAGAAAGACGCTTTCTGATAATTCTGCACGCAGTTAGTAGAAATATGTATTTTTTGGGATTTATGAGACCACTGTTCAATCAAATGCACAGTCGCTGCCTGTGCAGAATTACCTGTTGGGAACTAATTTTGTTCGAGCAACGTCCAACAAAAATTGGCACAAACTAGTTAACTAATTCGGAATATTGAAAAACCAGTCGATAAAAGATAATTTTTGAACTAAAGCATTAAAGTGTCCTCGAAATAAACAGAAATTATTTTCATGACAAAGTACAGGGTTGCCGCGCGGTCAGGTCCATGTCAGAGCGAACAAAAACAAACTGGTCAGAGCCGTATCAGGGCTAGCAAAGTTGTCTCAGGGCTGGAGCGTGAAAGCGTTGCTCGCCTTTTCGTTTTTATTTCAAAGTCTAAATTCAATTGTTTATTGAGCGTTAACCTGTAATTTTGAGTGCCATGTAAGAACTTGAAAAACTGAAAACAACCACGTAAGAAGTTAATTTGGTATTACTTTAAGTTATGTTATTTCTGGTAATTGAACTTCTTTGACAGTTTTTTTTTGCAGTTTTGACTAAATGTCAGGGCCTGAGCTTCAAAATAGTCAGGGCTGTCACGGCGACAGTTAAATTGTACTGCGCGGCAACCCTGAAGTACATTTCGGGACAAAACGCTTTGTTTAAAATAAGATCATTTGAGCAACCTCTTGGCCCCCTGTAATGACCAATTAAGCTATCACCCCAAGGAAAAACGCTATGAAAGACATTAACAAAGGCAACCAGATGGCTGGTGTGCTCTAAGCACGCAGGGAATCGACCTCATGAAGTTTTTTATGTGAGTGTCGAGATCAGTCTTTGAAAATGAAAAACCCGATTTTCTATAGAAGACAGAAAAAATTCGGCTTTGAATGCATCAGTTATAGAAACTTTTTCCCCTCTGAAAGTGCTTTTCGAGTTTTGGTATTCTGAATTTTTTGGTGTTCTACTTTCTTTGAAGAATCTGGCTCATTATTTCATAACATTCAAACTTTTTTCAAGTGTTTCTCAAGTACCTATTGAGCTCCCACCGCAAGAATGGGGGATTGCTCAATTGATCTAGGATTACGTTTAAAATTATAGCTTTTATTAGATAATTAAGCTAGTGTACACAATCTTAAATATTTTATGAGTTTTTATGGGGTAACTTACGTCTACGAAATATATGAGTTTTCAGCTCCTGGGCCGTACGTGCCATTTTATATTGAGCTTTACTGTTACAAAAAATAAATTATTTCTGATTAAAAAGAACTTGTAAATGCCAATGCTTCCTTGAATAGAAACCAGAAACCCAACTAATAACTTTTCAGTGCATTTAAGGAAAATGGGAATTACGCACCTTTTATTATTTCGCAAGCACTCAGAACTTCACCGGTCGTTTCATCATATCGATCATTTGTATAAGCAAAATAAACTTCTCGCTTTCTTTTTCCACGGGTAGAGCGATTAGCACAACACTGTTATCGTTTGGTTATGGCATATACATTAACATGTCGCTTTGTAATAAGTTGGTTTAATCTGACGAGGGAAAAATATAACTTGGTCGCTGAACTTCAAATCAATTCCAGTGTTTTTTAATTTTGCCTGAATCAAGTAAATATATTAATTAATATATACTCCATTTTGTAAGGTAGTGAACAGACAAGTACTTCAGAGTCGCCGAACACGACATTAAGTCATTGTCATGAATTAAACATTCGTCAGCTATTAATCAATTTCAGAAAAAAGTTAAGCCGAGCAGCTTCGCGTCAATTGCGTCACAAAAGCTTTGGACCTTGAGAAAACAAAACTATTTTTCCAATGAATTAGCATAAACTGACTAGAAAATTAATTAGGGCTAATTGATTTGCCAAAATAAAGAAAAAGCCTACAGATAGTTGAAAGAATGTCTCAGAACTAAGCTAATAAAACACAAACACAAAATGTAACTTGTTAAGTTTCAAAGAGTTAGCTTAAAAATTAGAAGAAAGAATACTTCTTTTAATGAAAAAAAAATTTGAATTACAAAAGGGACCCTTCCGTTTGGTTACGGTAAGTGCACAAGCTGGATAGGACCATACCAGCATTAATAAAATGCATACATATCAGCAATGAAGTCATAAATCAGCATTAAATGCATCGTCGTAATGTTAATTTATCTTAGCCGTCCTTCCTCTACAAAAGCGCTAATGGATTTATCGATAAATTGAACTTTGCGCAGCGATCTGCACCCCATTATACAAAGTATAGAGCTCCTCGTTCTTAAGTAGTTTATAGATTCTGGATAGCTTTTTTCTCTTTTTTCACTTAGTTTTTCGGCTAGTCGCTGCATCGTCCTTGTGGCTGTTGGTGTAACATTCACCCGGAAGTACGTATCCACAGAAAATAAATTGTTGTGATAAACTTATTAAATAGTTTCATATCTCGCAATTTCAAGACGAAATCGAGATGTTCACTCTGTCTCCGATGTTCCTGGTGACTTGTGCGGGAAGTGCAACAAGATGGGCGCTAACCAATGGATTCAGTGTGACCTACGCGACCTCTGGTATCACTACAACTGCTCGAGAATCTCAGTGAACCTTCTACCACAAATAGTAAAAATTAAGTTGCTCCTGTTCAAATGCAATATTTGTTCACAAAAGAAGTCTATTGTTCTTTCATCTTCTACTATTCCAGAAGTCATAAAGAATGCTCTCATATAGAGTTGTCATAGAAAGTATGGCCGATTCTGTACCTGTTTCTGATCCGAGTTGAGCAGCTGTTAGTGTCACGCCTGTTGTACTTGTTATACCTGTATCTGCTCAAGCTGGTAAACATTGGACTCATGAGTTGAAGTTTGATGGTATTTCTGAAAACAAAGGCGAATTCAACTCACAAACAGAGTCTGATATTTTCAATTTGAATTCTATTTTGTCACATCTTGGGGAAGAAAACCACGTACGTGTGAAGTCAATCAGACGTCTTGGTAAGAAAAACTCCGATGCGTCCCAACCCAGAACTTTTCTTGTTGAGTTCTACTCGCAGTTCGATTGCAAGAAGCTTCTATCCAAGTCTTAAAAGCTGAAAATTTATTGTTCTCCTGTTTATATTTCGAAATCGTTGTCTCACTCAGAGCAGATCACAATTCCAAAACTCCTCAAACTGAGATCTGATGTATCAACAAGAGACAACATTCCGAAAAGAGAACATAAAATACGTAATCTGAAGTTACTTCTTAATGTTGTGGAAGTTACCGCTCCTGAATGACTGTCAGAGTTAAAGTTGAGCCTAATTATTGTTCAAAGTCTTATCAATATCTAATTTTTTTCTTCCAACTCTGTCGACATACTCTTTATTACTGAGACATGGCGCTATAATGATATTACTTGCCTTGAGGTTTTCCCATTTAATGATTTCATTGTAGTTTCTCGCTGTGTCAGATTAAACAGTGACGGTGTCCACGGCGGTGTTCTAATTGCATGCCGTATAGGTTAATCTTTCAAAATCCTTCATTCCTACAGTTTTCGTGACTTCAGTTGTCCAATTGTCATCACGGTCAATCAGACACGTTTTTTGGTTTGATGGTTGCTTATAATCCCCCTCTCAGTTCCGACTATCGCGTTGAGTCATCTACACTTAGAAACGATGTTAAAGTTCATCATGATGAGGTGCTCAAACACATCGGTCGCTGCTCTTCAGACCAGCTGTTTTTGCTGTTCTAGGAGACTTCAATTTAGCTGATGTTTGTTGAAGCTCATACTATGCGTCCTCTGAATATTCGATGAACATTTTGAGCGCGTTTGATGATCTCAATCTGTTTCAATTAGTGAGTTTCCCGACTATTTTGTCTGGTAATACTCTAGATCTTTTCTGATCGAAGGAACCGCAGATATTTGTTGTCTATCGTTCAGCGAAAACCTACTCAGACCATTATCCAATTTTCCCTCATTTGCATGTCTCTAGTGATGATTGTTTTACACCTGATGTCTCAAAACAAAAGTATTAAAAGAAGAGTTTCAACACGGAACGTTTTAGTTGTTTGTTAGAACCTCTTTACACCAAGTTGTATTCAAATTCTCAAAGTGATTTCGTCTCCACATTTGATGTTTCTATTAAAGCCGCACTTGATGATTCATGCCCTAAAAAGAGTAAAAAAAAGACTCGATTTTTTTATTACTACTCTTCTCATTCTATTCATTTAGTCAATAAACTCAGAACTCTGCGACGGAAAAAGATTTCAAATCTGTCTTATATGACTCGGTTAGAGAGTGATTTCACCAAATCAGTTGTTTTGGATAAAGAATTGCTTTTTGATAAAGAATTGAAAAAAAAATGAATTAACCAGGAGGGACGTTGTTATAGACTGCGCAACGGCCAAGCCGCTCACTAAAAAAAATTAAGCCACTCAACCCATCGACAGAAAACTGGTGTATACCTGCAGACATGGAAGAGGGGGATTATCTGCTGATGGACCCTGCCTATGAGGTCAATGAGAAGGGCACCAGGGGCAAGAATGATGGGAATAACGTCGTAGAGGATGTGTTAAATCCACCACTGGACCTGGATTCCAACGAGGTGATTGAAGCAGATGAAGAAACCTTACCCTACGCAGAAGATTACTGGCAAGACCCCGAGCAGATGGCTGTCTCCAAGAATTTGGAACCAGATCTTCCGTTTACCATACACACTCGACAGAGTGACAGGACAAGTCTCACGAAGAAATGAAATCCTTACGGAGATGACTTCGTAGTAGACAGAATGGATCTGAAGAAGATAGTGGAAGAATTGGTGGGTCTAGAAGAAATAACCGTGTCGCAAGACATCGAGATAGTCGACGACCGCGACGAGGAGTGGATCGATGACCGGTCCAAGCCCGAGGTAGAATTCGACGAAAAGCAACAGCACTCCTATGAACAAGACTTGACGAATCTGCGTGTCTTGGAATTGCTGAACGAAATGACGTCGAACCCATAGGAGACCAGTATCACGATTTGAGATCTAGACCGTGAGAGCATGAAATACATAAAAACTGAGAGGGATGATCCTTCCTGGGCTGCCCAGGAAGAGCAATTAGTCATTCGTGCATCCAGTCTCGATTTAATATCCGGTATACGATCGACGGGTACGTCGATGGATATTTTTGTCCGGGGATTGGGGGTAGGACTTACCCACACTGACAAATTATTTATAATAAAAAGTAAGAAAAGCAAGAGAGACAGGTGATCTAGGAGCAGAAACGGGCGAGGACCCCAAGAAACCGGACATAGGGAGAGTAGTTGAGTCATATTTTAACTTGCCGAACAAGTACTCAAGTAGCATTATATTGACAGATGGCGATTTTATACTCACAAATAAACATGTGCGAGAGCAATCACAGCTGACATGAGTATTAGGACAGCGTTAGCAGCGGATTTTAGGAGAGAATATAAAAACACAGAATTTCTTTGGAAGCAAAGACCAGGAAAAGGAGGCGTAGCAGCCTTGCCTCTGGCGGCGTCGCAGATAGAGGAAAAGTATTTATGCCACTTGATTACGAGGGCGACGGAGAAGCAACGTGTGTACCCGGAAAACCTAATATTGTCCTTGACGAGACTGAGAGTAATCCTTGTGGAGAGGGAGGTGAAGGAACTCTCGCTTCCAATATACGACCCGAACCGAGGACGACTGCATCCACGGGAGCTGTATGCACTGATACACGTAATTTTTTCTGATAATAACATACAAGTATACTTATATAAGAAATATTATTTGAGTATAGGCTGAGTTTAGGTTGCATGCAGGAAGGTGTCATACTAAGTGTGTTGTGTGTGAAACGATATGTGCCTGCAAGGAATAATCCTCGTGGGCAGTCCCCGATGGAGCTCCTGACGCCTCGCGAACTAAGTCAGACAACGGAGGTGCAGCCTCCAACTACGACAGGGAGAGTAACAATTCCGGACCCGAGTGACACCCTAGGTGACCCAGTCGTGGAGGAAATAGTGAGAAAATTGATAGAAAAAGCTGGACGATTGGTCGCTAATAGGAATGCGCCAGGTTCCTGGGTGACTGCACCCTATGGAACAATAGATGATACAGGCAGAGTACAACTCTCAATAAGAGACGATGACGAGAACGGGGGTTAAAGATACAACGTTACCAAAAAAGAGCTCTAAGGTCCCAGACAGGAAGATACGAGAAATACCGATGAAGAAAGTGTCCCGAGTGATTGACGTGCAGAAGAACAACCCAGCGAACAATAACTTACAGGAATTCCGGAACGGATCCGCGAGCCTGCTTCAATCGATCGGCTTGGAGCTCAGCAGTAAACCTGCAGCAACCGCCACTTGGGACATCACATCACCTGATACTGGGTGACAGCTTGGTGAGATTACTCCAGAACCTGAGGACCTCCTCGATCACTACGGTGATGGCCTTTGGAGGTGCAACGATAGCCCAGCTATTTCGAATGGTGGAGCTGATGAACCCAGGGAGGATCAGTAACATAAAGATCCTAATAGGAATGAACAATGTATCTAGAGGCTCAGATGAGGAAGAGGCACAATGAGAGTCGAGGATGGTGTGCCTATTTACTACTCTCTGGCAGAAATTCAAGTGCGCGGTACTGACTGTCTGCACCGTACCAATGAGCACAAAAACGTTGACAGCGACAGAAAGAAGACATAATGAAGGAGTCATCAGGTAGAACAACATACTGAGAAATCTGGCGAGTCGGAATGCTAGACGTATGATCCTTATGGACATTGAACACGAGCTGAGAGCTATGGATCAGGCCAGACTAACCACCAATGGGATCCACTTTGATAGTATCGAAGGACAAGCCTAGATAAACCGAGTTTTCCAGGAGCGACTGGATGAAATGGAAGTCGAGCTCTTTGACACGGGAGTGCTGAAGAAAGAAGAAACAACGAACGAGCCGGTAATTTCAACCTTTGTGCCCCCAAACTTAGAAACCCGTCTGGGAACGGTCCCAGCCGTGACATACAGGCCGCAAAACTCTAGCGAGCCAGGGCAAAGGACATATGAACAGGATCGATTGGGAGAGGCGCCAATAAGAAGAACCATTCATCCAACACGAAGGTTAGGGCCTGTAAATCCGACCGCGGAGACGACAAGCACCTCGAGATCAGAGACAAGATCAGAGACAACGAGTACCAGCCGAGAGTATCGACGACCAGACAGGATCTCTTTGATGTGGTCGAGGCCCATACCTTCTCCCTGGCATATCTACAAACAGCACCTGATGAAATTGAACCTTTAGACGATGAGGTTTGCAGCAGATGCCATGCGGATGTTAAATGGAGCGAGATTATCCGTCAACGGACTGTATTCAATAGTAGGGGTGGACTGGTTGATAGCAGCTGGCAAAAACTTCAGCTCCTTGACCGCCTTGAGATTTGCCGACTTAGAGGGACTGCCCTCAAACGATATAATGGGTCCAG